GTTTGTCGACTGTATCCTCCATCACGACACATAACGGACATCGCCGCCCCACTTGTGGCGCCACACGAAGGGCGTTTTTTATTTAGAGAGAGAGAGAGAGAGAGAGACTTAGTTCCGCATGAAGAATAATTCGCTGCTATTTCTGGGAAATTGCATTCACTTCATAACGGCGATGTGAATTACTTCTGCGCAAGCACACACGCTGCCGTACACATGCCCTTTTGTTACTCTTAATGATAAGCCATTTTTATCTGCACAAGAAAAAAAGATTAATCTTAAATAAAAGACGAATATATAAGCAAGAATGTTATGATCTTCTTAGAAAAATTTTAGCCTTTGATTGAATTTGTATTGATGCAAAAAATGAATTGGCGATAAAACAATTGTCAGTGTTTTATCGAATTATATACATTTTTCATGCACAGATTTAGGTCAATCTTCGATTTTTTTCGAAAAATATAACTTTCTCAATTATTAAATGTGATCTAAAAATTGGCTGATTGTCAAATTCAACGGATCATTTAACGTTCTGATTAGCGTTACACTTAGCTTGAAGTTGAAGCTTTCAGATTGAATGCGAAGCAACGCTAAGAGATGCGCATGTTCACCGCTAAATGGTTCACTTCTAAAAATACGTAGTCAGAGTTCTATGATCTTTTTTCCCTCTTTGTCGAACAAACTCTCTCTCTCTCTCTCTCTCTTTCTCGTGTCGCAGGTGGCATGCCGGAAGCGAGGGTGACCACCGCGAAGGAAAGCCCCAATTTTCCGGTCTGCCGAATTCACCGGTTCGTGAATGAGGGCGCGAGGTCGACTTACGAGCTGGCTAACGGGATCAGCGGAATACTGTGTGTAGCAGAATACGAGTTCGCGATAAACAGAGTCAAGGATAAGAAAATCCTCGGCAGATTTGGAGTATTGATCTTTCGTGTTTGATAAGACAAAAATTTCCCCCGTCCGATCTAGGATAGCCGTTAATAGCATCAAAACGATTATCGCGATTTCGCACGCCTCATAGACACGCAAATCCGGCATACGAGTGAGCAATAATTTTCACGTCACATCGCGAAAAAAAATCGAGATTACGTTCGCACGATAAAAACGCACGATAATCCCGCATTTACCGTTTCACACCTCGCATGAGATCCCCGATGCGAAACGTCGTTATCGCGAGGCTCCCCTCCTCCCGATCGTCGTAATCTTCCCCCGTGAATGCGAAGCCTGCACTAACCAACCAGCTTATTATATCCGAACTCTTTAACTCTTTCGCGCTTATCTTTTTCTGTCAATTCGAGATTATCACGTTCTATATATTTGTTCGTTCCATCTATTTTTATGTTCTAGCCAATTCTCCGCGGTGATAAAAAAAATGTTTTAAATTTCGTTTCGTGCTCGATTTATTTATTTAATTTGTATATCCTATTCATCTATATCTGTATGTTGGAAAATTTTCTGTCTCTCTAACAATAATAATAATGATAATACTGCAGCAAGCTGAATTAAAATCTAAAAGCAGCTCGACTGTAACGTAACGTTCGTGAAGAAACCCTTCGGTGTCGTAAGGAGCTATCATGAAACATCAGCAGCCATTTGACTCGGTACGGGGGGGAGGTGGGGGGACATTAAAAATTACACGGTAGTTAAGTCAAATGACAGTACACAATCTTGAAGAGAGAATTCACGTTCCTGAATCCGCGTCTGATTTTCTGTCAGGTCTCGCCGCGCGTTGCAGTCGCTCCTCCATCGAGAGGGGCTCATTGTCCTCCTCGATATGTGCAGTCATCCTCTCGACAGGAACTTACTCTTCTCTCCCCCCCCTCCTCTCTCTCTCTCGATCTCCTTCCACTTTTCTTCGCCTGCCTCGCGCGTCTCTGCCGCGCTAGTATCTAGAGGGTACATTATGTACGCGCGTCTCGTAGAATCGTATGTACATACGCGCAGTGACTCATGTGCCATCACCGTCGACTCTTCGGAGCCGGAGGTGATGGCAGATGCTGGACGAAACCGCGTGACCGTAAAGCGATGGATTTCGGCGTTGCGTTATGCGACCGATGCATCTAATAACGCCCGCCAGGCCGGCTTTCCGCCGTGGCGCGGCGCGGCGGCGGCCGCACATCGCACGATCTTTCATCTCGCAATATATCACCGCGCGCGAATTACGGAACGCCTACGGAACGAGGCCGGGGAACGGGCAGGGCAAAAGCATATCGCGGACGCAAATCATGCGGACGAAGAGGAATGAGGTAGCGAGCGCGAACATTGTAGGTGTAATTGCACCGAGTTGGACCGAGCGAGTGGATGCTGGATTTAAAACGGCAAATAGTAAATCATAAAGTAAATCATCGTTGGCGCGTGGTAAATCAAACCGAATTATAGGTTCCACGTACGGTATTTCTCGAATATAATTTTCCCTACGATT